TCTCTTCGAAGAATCAGTATGTCAGTATGTTCAGCTCTCTTGTTCTTTAATTCTCTATTTTAAAGTTTAACTTCCTTGTAATTGCAGTAAACAACTGTCTCCACCGGTTCTAATCAGTAGTTCCCATCTCTTCCCCTGGCCCCCGGCTCCGTCCTGACTCATCCTGGCCACCTGCCCCAGTCACCTTCCCCTGTCACCTTCTTTGACCTAGGTCACCCCTGGCTACCTGCTCTGACCCACCTGTAACAGTCCTTCCCGCCAAAACACCCACCCTGCCATGCCAGCTCGGACCCCTGCTCTCTTTAAAATAGCCATTCGGGATTAGTCTAGCTTGTGTGGTCTAACCCTAGCCAACAAGGGAATGACACAGCAGTAGGGGCAACCCCCATCAGGCATCAATAAATCCCCGCCTTGTCCAAGCGTGCGGCCACCATCGCTCCATCCGTACGCCACACCCTTCTATAGAAGTAAACTGCCTTGCTGAGAGGATGTATCTTTGAGTGCTATTTCTTTTGCGGCATCAAAATTTTACTTATAACAGAGTGGACCCAGGCTCTGTCCAAACTGCAGAGTTGCTTGCTGCATAGAACAGTCATTGGAACTGCCAGCAGTTCTTTTCCTGCAACTTTTTACCTTCTAGTTTGTCCTCCGTGAGTAATGAATGTGTTCCAGGCCTGGGAGAACAGCTTAAAGCCTTTCCACTAATCTAAGAAGGTTGATGCTGCAGTTCAAGTTACAACACAGGGCCTTAGTACCATATAATGCCTGTTTAAATAGTGCTGCATAGACCACCTGGCTTTCTGAACGTGTTTCTAGCCCATACATTCAGCTAGTAGGATTCACAGGGGTCAGGGCTCCGAACTACTTTATCTGTTCCAGCATTACAGGAAATAATGATAATTATAGAAATTACAATTATCTTGAGAAATTACTTTGTGCAGGTACTTTGCTACCTGTTTTGCATACGTTGTCCTCAAAGCAACTCTCGGAGGTTCCTTCCATTATTATTCCCTGTTTGCAGATGAGGAAACAGAGAAGTCAAGAAATTTGCCCCAATCCATGCAGTAAATGATGAAGCCATTGTCTGATTTCCAGGCTAACTCCATAACCTATACCACTAATGGCCAAGCTCTGCTGTCATGTCAGATGTAACCTACTTCCTCCTTTCCCTCATCAAGGTCTCTGTTCTCTGCCCAGTAACTGCCCTGTCATTAAGGTGAACTTGTGTCTGCCACTGTGAGATGGGGCCAGTGAATTTACTTCCCAGGCAACATTTGCATTTAGACTGGAATTGTCTGGCAAAGACTGACCCTGAAGGAGTACATCTGAAGACATTGATTTAATTATCTTGCTCATCATCAACCCCTTGTTTACAAATTCCTGGCACAAGTTCTTCTTCTTCTTTTTTTTTTAAAAAGAAGCCACTTGCAACAAGGGTAGAGAAAGAACCACTGACCGCATGTCAGGAGATGAGGGTCCCAGACAGGTGCACCACCAAATGAATCAGGACAATGGACAGGTCATCCGCCTTTGGACCTGTGCCCACTGAGCAGAAAACAATGAATGAAAGCCTTCTGTGTTGGGACAGGGGATACAGTAGGGAACAAACAGGCATGGACTTACCTTGTGGAGCCTGCAGCCCAAAGACACTTTCTTCATGTGGTAAAAGGGTCAATGGATTTCAAACTCCCTCTTTATTGTAGAGTTCCTTTTTTTTTTTTTTTACACCAAAGCAAACTCATGAACAAAATTTTAGCTTACGATGGAATGCAATCATCCTCTCATTGGAGTGAGAGAGGACGGTCTGGGAATAATCCTTCCTCCTAGGTCTCTTTTCTAGACCCCTTCGTACCCACACTTTTCATGAGGTCTCCCAGAACTCGAGGGCTCCATGCACCATGGTGTACAAACTCAAGTACTTTCCAGGACCAGTAACCTATGACTTTATATAAAGTCAGCATGGCAGTGAGTTCTACCCATGTGGTTGAACGCTTCCCAGGAGCAGACAGAACAAAGCTTCCTGTTGCTTCTACCTGAAAGCCTCTGTTTCCCTCCTGTCCCAAAGACTTTATTCCAGGTCATCTCATGATAAAAATGTTAGATGGCTTTAGCATTTGTCCATACAATAAATGTGAGCTATAGTTCCTAAAGCTCTTTTTTTTTTTTTTTTT